GGAGGCACTAATGCAGCCTCAGTTCTGCAGCTGGTCACTACCAGGACGGATGCTGGTTGCTGGTCCTTCCATTCTGCAAGATGGCTGCTGTAGCTACCTGTCCCTGTGCACTGGGGGATGATCAGGCAGCTATGGCCTGAAGCTCCTGTGCCCCCTGGATTATTGCCTGTGAGGAGGAGTGGTTCCCCAGAGCCACGGGAGGCTGTGTGCATGCTCCCAGGCCAAGTGTGCCATAAGGGACTGCCAGACCACTGGTGGGGAGGGGCACCCCCCAACACGCCTGTGCTCTCTCCTGCCTGGATCTCTAACATGTAGGCCCTTGGGCTTTCCCCATCAACCCCACGAGGAAGAGAAGGGGGGCTTCTCTGAGAAGACTTGACAGGTTGGGGGGGACCTCCTCTGAGAGGTGGGCTGAAGGCAGTGAAAGAAGCCAGAGTAAGTGCAGGTGGGTACACCAACCCTCTCACTTCTCTCCTTGTTTTTCTGTTCCCTCCTCATCCCCAAAACATTCCCCTGCAGGTCCTGAGGGCTGCCCTTCCTGCCTCTGAGCCAAGCATGGTGGATTCTTGGAGGTACCTCTCTAAACGCCACATTTCTGGGTCAGCGATCCTTCATCCTTGACGTGGGCATTCCATAGCCCCCGAGGGTCTAAAAGGACCTGAATGTTGGGGGAGGAAGAGCAGGACTGCAGCCGGGTCTAGCTGAGTCTTGGTCTCAGATCATGTAGTGTGCCCACAGTGTGCGTGTGTGTGCACATGCTCATGCATAGGTGCACATGTGGTGTGTGTGTGCACGCATGCCCATGCACACAAGGACGAGACAGAGCCAGCCACCGGGTACTGTCTGTTCTCCAGGAGCTGCTGCCCCCACCCCCAGTCTGATTGCCTCCTTTATTTAAGATCCGACACAGTGGTGAGTAGGCCCGAGAGAGGAATGGCTGGGAGATGGGGTGAGGAGACACTGGCTCCCCCGCCTTTGCCCACCCCAGAGCCCCTCACAGCATCCCCTGGTGCCCTCTTCTCCCCCTCCCCTGGGCTCTCTTTTGTGTGGGGTGGGTGGCTGCCTGCCCTGCCCCTGTGGAGGGGGAGGGAGTGGTCAGCAGAACGGAGGGGGTCTAAGGCGTAGTAGTGCTGACCTTACTATGGGGAGGCAGGAGGCTCCCGAGCCTTCCTGGGCCCCAGCAGACCACGCAGCTCACTCTGGGGTGCGGTCTGGCTAGAGCTGGATGGAGGACTCCTCCACCTTTAGGCCTCTGCCCGCAGCCCTTGGGGCAGAAGAGGGAGTCCCAAAAACTCAGGGAAGTGCCCAGCTTGACACCAGATCCCCGTGTAGAGTCAGCTTCCAGGTCCTGGGAAGGGACTGGGGGGCACCTGGAAGCCGGCAGATGCTACAACGGCTCCCTACCCCCAAATGTTTTGTTCACAGCAAGATCCTTGGCAGGACAGGCAGCCGAAGCCTCCCCACCCTGCAGGACAGAAATCCCTGAATATCGGTTTGAAAAAAGTCTTTGTGCAGCCTGTGACACGAGACCCCCAGCGCCCCCTGCACAGAGGCAAGACGAGGAGTGTGGAGGCAGGGGCCGGGCACAGTGTGGGCCCACCTCGCCCCAGGCTTGGCCTCCTGGCCTCACTCCGGGGCAGGGGGTTGCCTAAGATGGGAGGACGTTCGGACAGGGTAGACAGGGCTGGAACAGCTTTCCTCCCCGCCGGCCACCGGAGGAAGGAGCCCTCCACCTGCAGGGGGCAGAAGAGGGTAACGGTGTGAGGCTGCGGAGGGACCACACCGTGGAGGTGGCCCGCCCGCCCCGCCGGCCCGGAGCAAAGCTGCGGGGACGGGGACTAGAAAAGCAGTTCAGCCGCCCCGCGTCAGGGTTGGCCGGGGGTCCCGGCTGTGTCCCACCCCGAGCGGACCCCGTAGGGGGCGCCCCGCCACCCCGGATGGCGTCTCTATGCAGCCTCTTTGATTCTGCGCATGTAATCGTGCAGGTCTGGGGGTGGCGCGGGCCGCGTGGTGCCCGCCACGTCCGGGCAGCCCCAACCCAGGTCCTCTTCGTCCTCGTCCTCTTCTTCGCCGGCGGGCACGGAGTCATAGGCCAGCTCCTCCGAGGGCAGCGTGGTGAAGGTGGTGAACTTGACCCGCTTGCGCTTGGAGGTGGGCGAGCTGGCGGGGTCCTCGGCCTGCTCCCGGGCCGAGCCCCCCG